GCGATATGATGCCGTCCGTTCTTTGTTTCTCTTCCTTCCCCCTCCTTCCCTTACTTTTGAGCCAACGATCAAGCCCATAGATTTCTGCCCAGAGGCTGAGGTTTCACACGATTTTTTTCGAGCGTAACGTTGCGTTTATTATTATTTATTGAAAAAGGCTGTAAGTAAGAAGAAAGGAAAGGGGATGCGAGATTTATTAATATTCTATATTTTCGATGGAATGGAATTGCTCAATGAATTTCTAGATTATTTTTTTTTTTTTTTTTTTTAATATTACAAAGCATAAGTATAATATTCGATTCGGGTGAAACTCAATTGTTAGTTTTTTATCTTATTATTATATTTATTTTCAGAGACAGATCGAGACCGTTCAGAGAAAATTTTTATGTTCGATGTTCTATTGGATGTCGCACAAACCGGTCCTCTTGGTCGCGCCATTACAGGTATCGTAGAGGCTACAGAATGTCGAGAGCACAATTCTGTATAGGAACGCGTATCGGACCTAGAGTATCGTATTTTTCGTATTGAAATAAAAATATCGATCCTCTCTGCCCGCGTGTGAGCGAATCCATCCGTTTCTCCTGTCAGAGGGAAGATAGAGATTCGGAACGAGTACAGATTTGTGCTTCGTCATCACGAAACTTACGCTCAAGCCCTTGCCGGCGTGTATAGATATTCCGAAAAATTTAGTCAAAGATAATCAAACATTTTTGCCCCTTCATGCGATTTCGTCGTTACGAGGTATTCCGGGGCCATCCATGGTATTTGGGTATTTTTTTTTTTTTTTTCCTATTTCGATGAATCGTTATCGATCACATGTAACTCGACGCATTAAGGCTGAAACACATTGTAAAAAAAAAAAAAAAAAAAAAAAAAAAAAAAAAAGAAAAAAAAAAAAAAAAAAAAAAAAAAAAAAAAAAGAAAAAAAGGAAAAAGAAAAAAGAAAAAAAAAAGAAAAAAAATAGTCCATGTTTAAGAAAACATTCGTCCCCTTTATTTGTTTGTTTCTCTTTTTTTTTAATACGTTGACGATATTATTGTTTTCTAATATTATTTATTTATTAGGTAATAATGTTCCAAATTTTTTTTTTTTTTTTTTTTTTTTTTTTTACGGATTCATATACCATATATCTTGTACACTTGTAACGGTGTAAGAGCCAGTCACTATCACGAAACTATTACTTAAAAACTTAAAAAAATTTTATCTCGATTTTTATTAATCCTACGTTTAGGTTAACGTTAAATACGAAAAGTTTCGCTTCAGTGAAGCGAACATTTTTTTCTACGTTAGTTTATACGTATACGCGCTGCCATGTAACGAAGTTTTTTCTTATAACTAAATAGAGTATTTAAAATATCGTGCGAGCAGTTACGAGTAAAATGTCGATTATCTTTCTTTCGGGTAATTTCGTTTTGGAGAATTTTCGGTGGGTCGGTCATATTCATAAAGATATTTCATAAAGATAAAGTTATTTTATACGTAATTGTTGTGCCAAAAAAAAAAAAAAAAAAAAAAAAAAAAAAAAAAA